ATACAAAAGCTCTTCCATTAGGAAAGCTCTTCCATTAGCCTGTTTTCACAGCCTGGGGAACTCTTACAAGATAATGACTCCGCCCTACCCCACCTTCCTGAGTAGATATAAATTACCTGCCTACCATTTTTCTTTTTACCTTGACACTGAGAGTATTCTGTCTTTCTGTATTATACCTCTGAGGATGCCAGTCACAGCTACTGGTGAAATGTCAGGTCCTACAATGTTCCCCCGCGAGCACTTCGGTCCGGGACCCAACATCTCCTGGCAGTGCCAGGTCCCAAAGAGGCCAGGCTGGCCGCTACCAGGGCCAGGGCTTTCTCGGTGGTGGCTCCTATCTGGTGGAACGAGCTCCCGGAGGAGATCCGGGCCCTGCGGGACCTTGTGCAGTTCCGCAGGGCCTGTAAGACGGAGCTCTTCCACCAGGCGTATGAGTAGGAGCCGCCACTACCATCATCATTATTCCATCTTCACCTGGCCCTGGATGAGGGAACATCAATGCTTCCCTGGAGCAGACGATGCTGAACAGTTCAAATATGCCATCTCTGAAATTTCATGTACAACACCTAGAGCACTTTAGTCAGTAACTCGTTATGAATGTTTTGTACTGTTGGATTTTAAATGGTTTTAATTATGTTTTATATTGGCGTTTGCCCCTATGTAAGCCGCCCTGAGCCCGCATTGCGGGGAGGGCGGGGTATAAATTGAATTAAATAAATAAATAAAGACCATGGCCACACAACCCGGAAAATCTACAACAGCTAATGAACTCCGGCCGTGAAAGCCTTCGACAACATATTCTCATCTATGCTGAAAAACTGCCACACTGCTTGAAATTTTATTTTGATTCAAACCTTCAAGCAAATTCTTTTGTACCAGGTGTGGAGGGAGGGCAGGAATAAACAACTGAGCTTTTGAAGATATTTCAGATCACTACTGAATAGTGAAAGACAAAGGCTTTCAAACCTATTGTGCATCCTGGAGATTAGTTTCGAGTCCTACTAGGAAGAAAGGGGATAATAACTGAGTGACAGGGGCAGGAAATTGGCTGTGAATTATGATCCTCGCATGACATTTCTCCTTCCATGAATACTAAATCTTAAGGTACAAGCTACATGTCTTGGGGTTTTTGTTGTTTTACTCTGTCTTGCATGTACTACTGTACAAATACTAGAATAAACTACTTTCAACATGCACAGCTCTCAAACAGAATAATTCATCCATATTAGACAAAGGAGGTGAATAAAGAAAGATCGGCCAAAATGCCTTGCCTTTTAATGAGACTATGGAAAGTCCTTTAAAATGGCTTCAAATTTGGTATTCCCACATACACTAACTGCATCACACATTCTACCTATACCGCCCAATGAACACAATGCAAGATCTTCATAATAAAGCAACAGGGGTGCCTAAATACTCACCAGGGCTATACCTAGATTCGGTTTCTCCTTTATTAACATGGCGTTTAACATGCCCTACCATATCAGTCCTTCGGGTAATGGTTGCTGAACAGATAATGCAGTGGAAATGGGCTCCCATCTTTAGGGATATCTACAGCACAGAGTACAGAGTTAAAGTGTATCAGAAAAGCTGTTCAGTATTAAGATCAGACTACAATAATGATAAATAACCATTAAATACATCTATGGGTGATATAATCGAGAACATAGTATCTTCATTACCAGAAAGGTCTAATGAGACTTCTTAATTATTATTCTGGATTATTCCTAATGCAAATCTTCCAGCAGTATACCTCTACCAACTCATAGCTCCTAATTTGCGTAGAGCCATATCCTTGGCTAGATTTAATGTTCTTCCTTCAGCTATTTTATCTGGCAGATTCCAAGGGATTCCCTATCCTAGCAGGTGCTGTCCTTGTAGGAAGGATTGTGTTGAAACTGTTGCCCATGTTCTCTTCCAGTGCCCTCTCTATTTGGCGTCCCGTCGGGATCTTCTATATCCCATATTAGGCCATTTTTAGAGTCCCCTGATGATTTTAAGCTTCTTTTCTTGCTCGATAACACAGACACAGAAATAACTGAAATAACAGCAAAGTTTCTCTGCAGTGCCATGGCCCTACGGCCTGATAAATGATATGATGGTTTTTCTTTATGGCAATACTCTGTGATGTTAATCGGCAATTTTAATTTGACTCTGTGTGTATTCAGATTACTGTATTTTTATTTATATGCCAATAAAAGGCTTTGGTTGGAAAATTATTATTCTAATACTGAGGTTTTAACTTGTTCTCTCCCCTAAGATAAAGCTGCTGTTCTTCTATGTCTTGCTGGACTACTGTAATGTGTTCTGTGTGGAGTCACTGTGCAGACGTTATTGATGTTTAATATTATGTCCTCCCCCACATTAGTGGGTTTGAGTTGCACGCTAAAACTGTGCTGAAAGAATTCTGCTAGTTTGCAGTTTGTCTGGGCGGTCAATATACTGGTTATGACTGTTAAAGCCCTAAATGGCTGGGTCGAGGATACTTCAGGAAGTGTCTTCTATACAATACCTACCCCATCTGCACACTGATACTGAAGATAGATAATAATGATTTACACACTGCTGGTTTGTTGTTTTGATCAACCAAGGCTGCAATCACACACACTAAATAATCCACTTTCAATGCACTTTCAAACTGGATTTTGCTAGTTCACACAGTAAAAATCCAGTTTGAAAGTGAATTGAAAGTTGATTGAAAGTAAATTATTGAGTGTGTGTGATCGTAGCCCAAAATATGATTTTGTGATTCTGTATCTTATTGTTTCAGTTTTTACTGTCTGTAAGTTGCCCACATGTTTCTAAAGATCATGCTGATATATTAAAAAGAGCAATTTTTTTTGTCTTTATTCAGAAGCCATTCCTCAGCTAAAGTCTTAGAACCATAAGCAAAGTCTTACTAGGACTTGGGCTGTCTGTCTAGTGTTTTACCCACAAAATCCTGTGAGCTCACTAGCATTTCATGATTCAGCTTTCTGAAGTTATTGGTTCATGGTAGAACGAAAGGCAGCAGAACTGTCTTTCTTCATGTTTCTCCATGTCATCTGAATCTAAATGTAACATATAAGGTGAAAAGCAAGTACCTTGATTCCTAATCTTTTCCTGCCAACCTGTTATAGGCTTTTTAACAGCTTGATAAAAACTTACTTTCTACAGTTCCCAATATGCTGCTATTACACCATTTCACAAGGGCATAATTTTAGTCAGAAGTGTAATGGCTAGGCTTATTAGACAAGTGCAGGGTAAATTTAAGTCAATATATACAGTAGTCTATGTAAACTTTTAAAAAGGTATTTTTAAAGTAACTTCATACAGAATGGAAATAATCTATATAAATTACATATAATAAAATGGGCACACTATCATCCCTCTAGCCTGTTCAGAAATAAATATAAAATTCAGGTATAAATATTATGATTAAGGATGTGTGTATTCAGCATTTCCTTTCCTCCCTTCTGATCCATTCAAGGAGCTGGTCTTCCCCTTGAAAGCTCTCAACAGTTTGGGACCAGAGTACGTTGAGTACCATTTTTCTCCTACATAAACCTCATTTGTAAATTTAGGTTAGCATTAAGGTTTAATTGTGACTTCTGAGCCACCTTGAGCCACAAGGAAAGGCAGGACATGAGTATTTTAATTAATAAATGAATAAAATGATCAGCAGAGGCCCTTCTCCACAGTCCCTGCCATCTGAGGTACAGGGGACAGTGTTGCAGCACAGGGCATTTTTGGTGGCAGTGCCAAGATTATGGGAATCTTTGCCTAAAAAGGACCATCTTGCTCCTTCCTTATTGGCTTTAATTAATACTTTCAGAAGGCATTTGGAGTGAATCAGTTCTTTTCTTGAACTGTGGTGTTTTAGATTGCTGGCTGTTCATTGGTTTTCATTGCTAGGCTTTGGTATGGTTTGTTGCTTTCTTCAGTCATTGGTTTTTATCATTTTGATTTTGTATATGATGTGTCATTGTAAGCTGCTCTGCGAGTCTGTCAGGCCAAAACTGAAACGGAACCATTCGTAATTATCCCGAGCTTTTGTAAAAAGATGAGTATTTATATAACTATAGCTGTAGTACCTGATCTCCAGCAACATTTGGTTTCACAGGGCGACAAGGTAAGTAACAAATGCACATTCTGTAGCCTGGAAAGTAGAAAGGGCTTGGTCACTTCAGAATGATACATGACAAGACAGCAAGTTCTGTGCTGCCTGGGCCTTCATTTTAAGCCAACTGCAGACAGAAAAGTATCTTATCAACACCGATCAGATATACTGGTCAAGTTAAACTTCAGTTTATAATAAGCCACCCAACTTGAAGCACTAACCAAGAAATGAAAAGCTACGACATTAACTTTACTTTAAGCCAGTATGGCATTACAGTATCTACAGTGGTATTTCAGCCATCTTTACCTTCAAATTCAACAGACACTTTCCAGTGGAGATTCTGAAGGTGGCGATGGAGCTTATGAGCATAACAAGCTTTGAACTTGTCTTCAGGGCAAAGAGGACAAGATTTCTTGCTACCTGGTAATGTAAATTAGACCAAAATAAGAAGAGATGCAATAACCATAACAACCACCCATTTTATAGGGTGCTGTCCCTCTCATCGGCTTTGCAGGGTTAACTTGGACATCGTCGTTCTATGGTTTTCTAGACTGTTCAAACTATTCAAGAACCAAGTTGGATGGATCAAGAAGAAGAGACTGGATTTACACCCTGCTCTTCACTTAGAGTCTCAGAGTGGCTTACAAACTCCTTTCCCTTCCCCTCCCCACAACAGACACCCTGTGAAGCAGGTGGGGCTGAGAGAGCTCTTTCAAGAACTGCCCTTTCAAGGACAGCTCTGACAGAACTACGGCTTGCCCAAGATCATCCAGCCAGGTGCAAGTGGAGGAGTGGGGAATCAAACCCGGTTCTCCCAGATTAGAGTCCACGTACTTAACCACTACACCAAAGCAACTCAGCACCCTTGTAACAAAATTAATTATGAAGGAATTGAGAGCTGCTGTGGACTGTTTTACTTTGGTCTCAATCTGGGGGCAGTTTTATTTACACAGTATTTCAGTTGCTAAATCTTACCTCCCTTACAAGGTAATTAAGGTAAATTTTGCTAAATCTCAGCTTAACCATGCCAAGAACCAGGCAGGGGTATGATGCCCAATCTCTCCTGTCCTCCCTCAACACAAGCATGCAGTGCTGATGCCAGTGCCAGTTACTTTCCTCTCCCAGCAAGACTAGCTCAAGTGCATTTCCTGGCTTGCAACCGGCAGAGAGGATAAAGGCACACCTGCAAGTCCCCACAATGGTGCATGAAACTATCTATGTTTTTCTCAGTTGTTATATATAACATTGTTGTTCACCAGCACTTAAGCAGCCACTGATCCATACATACAGGCTCCTAATGAGAATTCATAGCCCACTACCCTGCATGGCTCCTTTTCTCGCTTGCAGATTAAGGTCAATGATGTACCCTCCCCAGCTATTCAGTATCTAGGATTAGGTGCTTTGCTGTGGGGTTAGGTACACTTCTAAGAGTCTAACACCACAAATATTCTCTCTCAGCCATACCTTTCTCTTTGCTGGAGCTAGCTTAAATACCTGCCATGTGAGGGTCTGTGTTCTGGGAAACAGTTGAGATTCTGCAACCTTCCTTCAAACCAGCCAGTTTTTCTAGATCGGTAAGCGTTCTTTGAATTGAAATGTGTTTCCCTAGGACAAAACAGTTCAATTTTTTGTTCAAGTTACTTTTTTTGTTACATGGCAGATTATAATCAAGCGTTACTTCTTCAGCAGCTTTGCAGCAACTGGAAGCTTCATACCTTGCATCGTCCAATCTATGACATTCTGCGCATACACCTAACCACATAGCCCCGGCCTATCATTTACTTATAGCACCTCTGCCTGCTGCTACGTCACCTGTTTTCCATTAAACAAAAGTAAACTCTGCAGCTTTGTCTGCAGAATTTGAGCAAAAAAGGTCTCTCGGCACAGACTTTTCCTTTTGAGTAGGCCTGCTTAGGATTGCTCCCAAGCAGCATCAGTGCCATAGCTCTTTTTGTAAAATCAATACGCATCATAACTTTCCTTTACTGATTCTTCCTACCCAAGTGCAACGCTTGATGTTAATACTCCCCATGGTCCCTTCTGAAGCACAAATCTGCACCCTGTGCGCTCCCAGGGCCAGATAAGGAACGCACAGCCAGAGTCCAGTGAGTTGGATTTCTAACTGTTTATTGCAATAACAGGAAATACAAGACTGGATACCTCAGCATCCAGTGACACCAAGCTGTATTCTGCCCCAAACAGGAAGGGCAGCAGGTCTTATACCCCAAATGACATCATAACAGTTTACAACTCGGGAAAGATACAATTGGATTCAAACAGGTAGCATCATTTGAGCTGGCATCCTTCCATTGGTGTACCCCAAGACTGGCTAGAGTTACAGATATTTGCATTTGTTTATTTGACCCAAGAACATTAAGGTACACTGAGGTCTCCTTCTGGCATTCTTCAAGGACCTTTTGCATCTGTACAGAATGGGGAGTTTCCGACTTCCGGTTGATGGCAGCACGCTAGACAGACGCATCTCCTGGACCTCCTCGATGCCCGGCAATACAAAGGGAGATGCTGTTTAGGAACATCCAGGCCTCTTATGCATAGTAAAAGGTAAAGGTTCCCTTGCTCGAAAGCCAGTTGAATCCGACTCTAGGGTTGCGGTGCTCATCTCCGTTTCAAAGCCGAAGAGCCAGCGCTGTCCAAAGACGTTTCCGTGGTCATGTGGCCGGCATGACTAAACACCAAGGCACACG